AAATACTGTAAAGATTGTTATATTAGGGTATTTTTAAAAACTAACAAAACCATAAGGCAGTGAGTTGTCTTTGCTTTATTGCTTGGCTGTGAACACTAAAGTTCTCTTCCAACAGCATGTATGGTCCTCGAGTGTTTGTTTCCTAGCTCCTATACACATTACTTGATAAATGACTATGCTAATATTTTTTTTTCTTTTTCTTTTTTGGTACTGATGATGAATTCATGACCTCATATTTGCCAGGCAGGCACTTAGCTGCTGAGCTAAATCCCCGGCTGCTTGGCCAATTTTTAAAACATAAAAATTGTCTTAATAATCAGTTTTAAATAATTTTCTTATAATTTTATTTATATATTAATATACAAACATTAAGAAGCTAGATAAAATTTCTTGTGCTCATAGTTTCAAAATAAATTTATAAATTCAGCACATAGTATAAGCAAAGCTATGAAGTCAGTGTTGCTTAAATGAGTATACTTGGGATTAGGACCAGGATCAGAAAGACATTCATGAAAATGCTTTAGAATTAGATCATGAGGCCCTTAGTATTGAGCCAAAGGTTGAATAGGAAACCTTGAAGGAAAGGGAGCAGAAAAGCCACATACAGTATTTTAAAATGTTTTATCTTTGGCAATATTTTAATTGAAGAATGAAAATCCAGGTGTAAAAGCAAGAGATTAGCTCTGTGAGGGCAGGTACTTGATTCAGTACTGTCTTGGCAATTCCTAGATGATGGTTAGTCATCAATAAGTATGTGTGTTTTATGAATGTATGAGTAATGAGTAGCAGAAGGATATCCAATTAGAGATGTGTAGAAAACAAAGCCTGGAATGGCAGTTCGCAAGTGAAATCATGGATTGTGAAGTAGTCGTAAGGAATTTAAACTCTTCAAAATGTGTAAGATCGCCGTATTGGTCAGCTATCCCAGAACAAAATACTTTGTACTTACAATTTAAAGGAGAGGTTTATTTTGGCTCACAGTTTCAGAGGTTTCACTCTGTGACTGGCTGCTTCCAAGGTAGAAATGGTGGGTGGAAGGATGAGATGGAGGAAGATGGTTTAACTCAAGCATCCCAAAGGGAGAGAGCAATGGAGAAGCCAGAGAGGCAGGGGGCAGAGAACAGTGCCCAGATCACATCCATCTGCTCCGACCAGGCATATCCAAAAGCATGCTTTCCTGATCTGCTAGGCTGCTTTTAAGCCAATCAAGTTGATAACCAAGAGCAACCATGACAAATGTAAAGGAGAGAGCTAGTGAAGGTGGAACCTTAACCATTACAGTGCTGGCTGATGTAAAGGGGAAGCACCACGAGAAGCAGAAAGATGACTCGAGAATGTGTTGGCCTAGAAGCAAAAGGACAGGAAGGAGTTTCCATTTGTGCATATCCCACTTATAAATACTTACTGTGGATTTTTAAATTTAATCTCTTTTTTTCAAAGCAGATTTACTTCATTATTCTAGTGTTAAAAGCTTAACGCATTTGTAAGATTAAATGTTGACCGGATCAAAGCAAAACCAGGGAAATAAAATATGTCCTAGAAGCACATGGAAAAATTTTAAGATAGCATATTGTTTTGAAATTTAACACCACATTCTTTCATAATTCTTTTTATTACATCACTAGCTAAATATATAAATTTTAATATGTTATACATAGTAGTTAAGCAACAGGATAATTATATCACCAAAAGTTGTTTACTTTATGAATTTATTTAATGTAGTATCTCATCAGTGGTCTACCCTAGGATACTTTAAGTGATTATATTAAGTTTTATTTCCAGATATTTTTATGAAACTTTATTTTGCCTAAAGCAGGCACACAGTTCAGCCATTTAAAAAATTGAAAAAGACATACACTCAAAAATAGGCATTGGTTTCTTATTACTTTATGGCTGTGAGTATCATTCTGAATCCTCTTGCCAGAGTGTTTACTACACCAGCAAGATGTAGGATTTAACATTAAATTTTCATTTTGATTAACTTGACTGCAGTTGTTTCTTGGCTCCCTGTTTAGAGCTCACTGTGGAATAAAATTAAAACAGTTTTTATGATATAACAATTTAGTTGCAGAAAATGACATTTTTCTTTTTTCCCTGACTGGCAGTATATTCTACCCTGGAGTATCTTCCATATGCTTCATGGCTCTGGTTTTTCCCTGCTCTTATCCATCTTTTCTAATACCAGCAGATTAATTTTTCTAGAACAGAGTTTTGGTCATTCCCTTTATCCCCGCATGGCTCCCCATTGCCTCCTTTTTGTCTAAGCCCAGATCATTCATCAGGGCAGGAGTAACCCAAATGCAGTATTTCCCTTTATCATTTTTCCTGTGTTCCCTGCTGTGAAGTCCCTATCCACGCACTAGAAGTCTTTCTTGCATAGTGTGGGTCTTGCCCTGCCATCCATCTAACTGCATCTGAGCACAGACTTTTTGAATGCTGGAACCAAGTCTCCTTTTTTGTTTTGGCCCACTCCCCCGTTGCCTGCTCATAGAAGGTACTCAATAAATGTTTGTTAGATAATCAAATACATATGTTAAAAATTAGAAACATGCAGATTTCCTTCTTCTCATGCATTCGTGCTCCTCTCACCCTTTGCTTTGCTTTTCCCACAGCACCTCGCACCTTCTAATTCATAATGCATTTACCTATCTTTGGGCTCGTATTGGGGTCTCCCCGCTACTGGATGCCAAGTATGTTGTTTTGTTCTTTGCAGTGTCCTTAGTGCTCAGAACTGGTTGTTGAGTGAATGAGTGAAACTTGAAACTAAAAGTCAGCTTCTCTGTGTTCTTGGGTTATTATTACTGGTTTTCGAGGTAAAATACAGTGTGATAGGAAGATTAGAGAGAGATGTAGGGAGATCCTTAAGTCAGTTTCTGTCACTCTGAACAAGTTTCCTGACTGTTCTGAAGGTCATTTCCGAACCTGTTAAACGATAACATGCCCTAACTCACAAGTGTGTATGTAAGGGTTAAGTTTTAGGGAAAATGCATACAATAGAGTTAATAACTGATAACCCTGATCACTCCTAAAATGCCAGACTTGCTGCTCTGCCTTTTCAGCTCCTTATCACTGATTTCATAACCATCCTGTGACACAGAGGTATTGTGGTTACTCCATCCTACAGGGGAAAAGAAAGGTCCTGCCCGAGACTGCACAGTGCTGGATGGCAGGACATCCCCCCCTCCAGCGCCAGAGCTTGAGATCCTCTGCCTGCTGTGTGCGCTCTTCCTGGGGGGTGGGGAGGCCTCAGCAGAGGGCTGTGTGATTTCTTCTAGACCTTTCCTTTCTGGAGTAACATGCTGAGGGATACAAAGGGCTCCCAAGTACCAGTGGCCCCCAGGAGAGGTCTCCATGCAAAATCTTGAAGGGCAGAGTTTCTGCTTTGGAAACTTCCCCCTTCTAAATTAGATCCCTATTCCCCCAACTCTGCCATTAAATGTGTCCCTACCTCCCTGTCAGTTTGTCCACTCTAGCCCCCACTCCCTACTCCACCAAAATAAAGCTTTTAATTCTTTATATTTTTACCACAAAGATAAAATATTCCTGCGTTAAGACTTTTAAAGTTCATTGCGTTAGTGGTTTGGAAACAAATTGGATGGTTTATGGTTGGGATAGCAAAGTTGATTGCCTTTTCTATTGCCTTTTCTATTGATTGAAAAAGTCCTAAATCTTTTAATTTCAGAGAGATTTATAAATGTCATTTTAAAACACAGTTACATCACTAATAACTTTTAATTATGATAATAAAGTTAGCATCACAAATAAGGAAGGGTGTTTTCTGTATATAGGATAATTTGTTTTCAGATTTTTATTGAGCATTTAAAATGGCTAACAGAATTAATGGGATGGATTACATCAGCATCTGAAAAACATTTATGTTTAAGGGAATGGATTTGTCTTTTAAAATAGTTTATCATTGGTTCAAAGATTATGAAGGTATTTTAGAAAATATTAAAATGAAAAATAATTTTGTTTGTATGCTATAAAGTTACATTATGCTTAATTGATTGGGAGGTTTTATAGGAGGCCAGAGAAACTGGCAAACAAATTGAAAAGCAAATATAGGCATTTAATATCAAGTACTCTTTCAACAGAGACATAAGTTTACCATTAATTTTTGATAGCTTTATTTTAGTGATTAAGAGTATAAACTTTAGAACCAGTCTGGCCTAGATTTGAATCCCCATCTGTGGGTTTACATATGTTACCTAATATTCTCAACCTTTATTTTTCTCAGTTGTAAAAAAGAAGCAATATTTACTTCATAAAGTTATCTTATTATATGAAATAATATAGACAATGCATCTAAACTGTTCTAATGTATTATAGACACTAAAATATCGTAACTGAAATTAATAATTTAGGTATAATGAAGTGTTCAAATAATACTGCTTTGCCAAATAAGTGGGAAACATTTTTATGGAACTCTGTACAGATATTCCTTGTTTAATGACTGAGTTTATGCCTAAGACTTGGTCTCTAAATGAAGAATTGTATACAGTATGTACATTGCAGTATTCACAACAAAATTATTCAGGTTAAAAGAAATTCCAACTTAAGATTTTGGTTTTACTTGCATAACTCTTATAGCACTACTGTAATATGTAACAATATAAAACTGTAGTACAGTACTGAAGAGTACAATCAGTAAAAATTATAATCAGTATTATAGTACCTTATAAACAAGGTGTACTAAATCAAAAAAACACTGAAGTTCTACCAACAAGATATACAGAACCATATAAAAAACATAATGAGTCTTAAGTCAAAACAGTGCGCCTTGGTGGTAAGTCTGAACAGTTGTTAAACAGGTAGGTTGTTAAATAAGGAATACCTGTATACAGCTTTTAGCTAGAAATGGAATATTTTCATTTTTTCACTAACTCAGAGGTGAATTTTATTTATCTAATCTCGGGATAAATTGTCAACTTCTATACTAGTGAAATTATAACTAAGGAAATGTGAATCCTAAGTTTCATTAATAAAATTGTATTTTTCAGGAGAATGCATAGAAGGATTGCGGGAAAATGATTACCTTCTGATTCATTCATGTCGTCAGTGGACCACCATCACTGCCCACAGTCTGGAAGAGGGCCACTATGTCATTGGGCCAAAGATCGAGATCCCGGTACATTACGCAGGTAAAATTCCTCTCAGGTGGCAAGATGAGGAGAGAAAAGGGCACTTGAATTTTTCCTTCACGTGGGAAAACAGGAATTGTCTATAAACTAGGCCAGTGGCGGCAAACCTAAGGCACACGTGCCACACTGGGCTGTATCATTGAAAGCTTAAAGTTTCACCATTGAACGAGACAGTGTAGTAGTTTAGAAAGGGAAGAATCAGACACTCATGTAGTTATGATATCAGTGAAATCTCAGATTCATTTTGTCATCAATGTTTTTAATTAATGCAGCTGGGTATTTATAAAATGAAAGTTTAAAAGGCAAAGGCCTTCTATGTAATCTTAGAATTAAAATCACCTTTGAGCTTCGCATACTCGTGTCCTGAGTCACCCTGTGTACAGCTTCATCGGTGCTTTTGTGAATGGCTGTTGTGTAATGATTTCATCAGGTGCTGTTGCACAATCAGGCATTGTGATTTGGTTTTAGAAGTACTGGCTTGAAATTCATAGGTTTGTGGAACATGTTCCTCTTCTCACATAGGCTTAAAGAACACTGCGCAATACCCCCACTGTTCTAGTTAAGTGAACATCACTGCCCTCTCCCCTCAACAGTGCCATTTACAGTTTTTATTACGCACATTCTGTGACCAGCACTGAATGTGGGGTGTACTGTGTATAGTAGATTGAATGAACTTTCAGTAGTAGGAGCTTACAAATAGGCAGTTTAAAAAAAAAAGCCTTAATGTTAGCCTACTTTCTTTGGGTGCTTATGGTTCACTGTATAAAGATCTTAACTTTTTCTTCCATTGTTCAGTTTTCTAAAAGCCAGATCGCAAGGTATTTTAATCAATGAGCTGTTTGTTATATAGCTGTAGACTACCATGCTGTTTTTGATTGACCCTCTCTAACACACACCAAGTTGTCTCTTCAAGATAAGGACCTGCTGTACTCCCACAGTCTGGAACAGTAGCATGTGGTATTTGTTTAGTAAGTGTTTAATGAGTGAATGACGCTTTGGTAGCCTTTCTGATTCATAGGAGCCTTTAATTCCTGATCTGATCCATGGATCACTCAGCTTCTCAAAACTTTTCTTATTCAAAAAATAGAGAATTTTTCTGTCCTAAAACGTTGTTCCTTAGAATTATATTTCCTAACATTCTGAGTAGCCTTCGTGGAAACAGGACGCACTAAGCTGTAGAAGAGCTTGGGGGCGGCAGGGTGAGGAGCCAGGCAAAGGAGGGCAGTCCTCACAGGGGCAGAGAACGGGACAGGCTGCTCGGTCTCTTCTCTGTGGTCTGCAGCAGGTGAGAGCTGCATTGCTTTTCACAGTCTGACTCTAGTTTCTGCCTTTGTGGAAAACTGAAAAGAAGGGTAAATTGCTACATTGCTTCTTCACATAAACAATTTTAGCTAATCTGCTCTGTCCTTCTATTACTAGGATAGGTTTTAGTCTTACCTCACAAAACCACTATGAACAGCTCTGTGAAATCAGTTTCCCCAGAGGAACATTTTTGTTTGGTCATTTCCTCAAGTCTCTTTAGAGACCCTCTACTGCCACTGGGCTCTTTGCCTATAAAAGGACCTAAATAAAATTAGGGTCCCCAGATTTCTAACTTTCTACTCTGAGGAGAAAACCTCCCAGTCCAGCAGGATTAGTCACCTCACGGTTTCCTGAGTATACTGACCACTCTTCTGTTAATACCATCGCCTCCCTGAAATGGCCTTCCCCACCCCACCCCATGCTACTTCTCAGAATCTGTAGTTGGATCAGAAGGGTACAAAGGTCCACTGCTGCCCTAGTAGAGAATGCCCCATTGTCTCCTGTTGTACTTACTGGGGGTCACATTTATTTGACACATATCATTATACTTTATTCATTTACCTCTTCCTGTGCACACATGTATCTTCCATTACTGAACAGTTTTACTATACACTTCTTAACAAACTAGGCCAGTTCAAAAAAACACTGTGCATCCTTTGTATATACTTCTTTTATGTGTATGGATACTCTGTAGGGACCTCCAACTTGGCTGTGCATTGGAATAACCTAAGAAATTTTAACAAGTTGATTGCTGGATCCTGGCTCCAGAAGTTTTAGTTTAATTGGCCTGAAGTGTGGAGGTGGGCATCAGAATTTTTAAATCTTACTCGTGCTTAAAAATGTAACCAAGACTGGGTATGGGTAAGAAGACAAATGTTTGTTAATGTGTTAGTATTTTTCATTTTTGTAGTAATAGCCCTCCAGCTTCCACTGTAAAGAAAGATAAGTCATTTTCTGAAGCTTAGGCTTTATTTGAAAGGAAGATGATACTATACTTAACTGGGAAACCAGGCTTCAGGTTACAAATGATGATATACACTGTACTATTTTTAAATGAAATTGATGTGCCAAGACTAAAATGAATATAGACACTGAAAAATCAAATCACTTTACAGTAAAAAAGAGAAAACAAATTAAAGAAAGAAAAACTTGAAATAGGGCCAGATGACTTATAACATCATTTGCCATTAGGCAAAATAAAATGCATAGTTGTCATGTATGTCATTCTAAATTTTCTGAGCTGTCTTCCATCATTTCTTCAGCAAGAACCTTAGGTAGAAATTTTCAAATATAAATAGATATTGTGGATCATTTTATTTTGGGGCCTCACTCCTTAAGATAGCACCAACAAACTTGCTTTACAAAGAAAAAAATTAGTGATTTTCTAGTTTTTAAAGAATGTAATAGGCTAACAGATAAATCAGAGAGCCACGTCTTACGATCCTATTGTAAGATTGAGACTTGTGTATTGATACCATCAGTGTAGAGTGTGCTTATGTTTTTGTCGTTTGGGGTTTTTTGAGAGCCGGTCTCACAGTATTGCTCAGGGTGGTCTTGAAATCCTGGGCTCAGTTCTCCTGCGTGATCTCCTAAGTGTAGGGACTATTGAGCCAGCTTTATCGTGGCGTATGTTTTGTTTCATACTTACGAGTTTTCAGTTCTTGGACTAAAGGAAGGACAAAGTATAGCGGAGAGACCAAAAATGTCATTTTACGTCTCTAGTTTATTTGTGCTCTTATTTTAATTAGTAAAGGAAAACCTTTATTGAAGATATATTACTGACTTGTCAGCATTTCATCTAGATTAATTGTCCATTCTTTGAAAAAAATTAACAAATAGGTAAGTCAGTTAACATAGTAGTAGTAGAACCCACTACTTTTATAAAAAAAAAAAAAAAAAAAAAAAAAAAAACTTAGTTGAATTCCTGGTTCAGTCATTCACTGTCTCTGTTATGTCTCTGTTATTTGGGCAAGTCACTAAATTCCTCTAAATCATACTTTCCTCATGTGAAAAAAGGAGCTAGTTATAGTACCTTTCTCCTAAGGTACCCAGGAATGTCAGAAGTAATGCAACTATAACAACTTTAGGAATACTTAGCACTTACTAAGCACTCCCCAGATGTTAATTCATGGTGATAATCCTGATGATGTTACTTACAGAGTGTTTTTAAGGATTTAATTTTTTTTATCTTGCACTGTTAATTTCATACAAAGAATTCATACATGAATTCTTTTTCTACTTGTTGAACATTGACACTCTACAGAATTATTTTGGCTACTGTTTTTTTTTTTGCTGGTTTGTTTTTGAGGGGAGGGGTTTAAGCTTTGTATTTTGAGAATGTAACAGTATACTCCATAATTTAATCCAGTTTTGCCCATTTTTAGTATCTTTTGCCATGTTTGATTTTATGCGCCCCCCAAGTACACGCAGATAAACACGCATTTTACTTTAGATTATTTGACAGTACACAACATCCCGTGATACTTCCCTTGGTATCTGCTAAGAACAAGGATATCCTCTTATATAACCAGAACGCTGCGAGCAAATCCAGGACACTCAATACTTTAATCTACAGTCCGTGTTCCCCTGTTGTCAGCTGTGCCAATATGTCCTTATTGCACATTTTCCCTTCAGGACAGCGTCCAGTCCAGGGCCACTTCCTGTGTTCCATTGTCCTGTCTCTTTTGCCTGCTTTTTTTCTGGGGCAGCTCTGCATAGTCTTTAGGTTTTACGATATAGGTATTTTTAAAGAATACAGCAGGTGCCTTTACAGAGTGGCTCTCAATTTGGGTTCCCTGCTCCATGTGATTAGGTTCTGGCTATGCATTTGGGTCCGGGTTGCTGTGTATGTGACGTTGTGTCCTTCTCAGGAGTCACATTGCAAGTGAGGGAGGTCCACTTGCTCCTTACTGATGATGACAGCTTTGATCATTTGCTTAAATTGTCTGATTTCTTTGTTGTGTAATCACTGTTACTAGGATAGTTGGCAAAGGATACTTCTGTCATGTTCCTCTAGATTTTCCTGCCCTTCCAGTCCGCCTTGATCAAGCGTTATCAGTGACTTCCATCCATTTTTTTATTGTGAAGATGGCAAAACAGTGCTTTTCTACTTTAACTCATGTGATCTTTGTTCTGCTGTAAGGAAGAGCCCTCACTTCTCCATTTATTTACTTACGTGTTGTGATTAGCATGGCTTTTGGGATCTAATGTCATTCGGGGAATTTATAATGTATGTTAAATGTCCTTATTTGTGCTAGTGCTCAAATTTGGCCATTTGGGCACAAGTTGGCACCTGTATCTTAGTGACTTGCCCCCTTCATTTTTTCAAGTCTTGTCTTTGTTTTCTGGCTGGGTAGCAGGAAATCTTCTTAAGCAGAGCTTCCACACTATCCTGTTTCAGGCAGTTCTTGTCACTTTGTGGTCTTTAGAGATGGAAACTCTTGGAGTTGAGCAGTGCACAGCTTGGGCAACCACCTAGATCCGTTGGATTCATACATATCCTATAAAGTCAGACTTAGCAATTTTAAGAAACTACAACTCAGAGAACCTTTCCATCATCTGTACCAGATTATCATGAAATCCCTCATGTGAGAAACAGTAACTTCATAAAACTTTGCTAAAAGCTAAATGCCACTTAAAGTTTGTATCAGAACTATACTCTGAAATAAGAAACTCTTTACTCTGAATTCTAAAATTAC